TGGGGACACTGGGGACATTTGGGGACAATGGGGACATCAGGGACAGTGGGGACACCGGTGACATTGGAGACACTGGGGACATCGGGGACATTGGGGATATTTGGGGACAGGAGCGGCTCAAGGTGACACTGGGGACATTGGTGACACTGGAGACAATGGGGACATTGGGGACAATGGGGACATTGGGGATATTTGGGACAGGAGCGCCTCAAGGTGACAGTGGGGACATTTGGGGACAGTGGGGGCACTGGGGACACTGGGGACATCAGGGACACTGGGGACAATGGGGACAGGAGCGGCTCAAGGTGACAGTGGGGACATTTGGGGACAGTGGGGACATTGGGGACACTGGGGACAATGGGGACATTTGGGGGCATTGGGGACACTGGGGGCAATGGGGACATTGGGAACAGAAGCACCTCAAGGTGACTCTGGGGACATTTGGGGACAATGGGGACATTTGGGGACAATGGGGACACTGGGGACATTGGGGACAGGAGCGCCTCAAGGTGACACTGGGGACGTTTGGGGACAGTGGGGGCACAGGGGGCAATGGGGACAATGGGGACATAGGGGATATTTGGGACAGGAGCGGCTCAAGGTGACAATGGGGACATTTGGGGACAATGGGGACACTGGGGACATTGGGGACACTGGGGACAGTGGGGCCATTGAGGGGACTGGGGACATTGAGGACATTTGGGGACACTGAATGGCATGGGGGATACTGAGGGGATTGGGGACACTGGGGACAGTGGGGCCATTGAGGGGACTGGGGACATTGGGGACATTTGGGGACACTGAATGGCATTGGGGATACTGAGGGGATTGGGGACACTGGGGACATTGGGGACACTGGGGACATTGGGGACACTGGGGACATTGAGGGGATTGGGTACATTGCAGACATTTGGGGACATCTGGGGACATTTGACTCAGCTGTCACTCAGCTGTCACTCAGGTGTCACTGAGGTGATTCAGGTGTCACTCAGGTGTCACACCGGTCCTTAAGGTGTTACACAAGTGACTCAAGTGTCACTCAGGTGTCCCTCAGGTCTCAGGTGTCACTCAGGTGTCACTCAGGTGTCACTCAGGTGTCACTCAGGTGTCTCAGGTGTCACTGAGGTCATTCAGCTGTCACTCAGGTGTATCAGCTGTCACTCAGCTGTCAGACTCAGCTGTCATTCAGGTGTCACACAGGTGTATCAGCTGTCACTCAGGTGTCACTGAGGTTACTGAGGTCACTCACGTGTCACTCAGGTGACTCAGGTGACACTCAGCTGTCACTGAGGTCACTCAGGTGACACTCAGGTGACACTCGGGTGTCACTGAGGTGACTCAGGTGTCACTGAGGTCCCACAGGTGACACTCAGGTGTCCCCCAGGTGGCCCTGCGGTCCCTGCCCGAGGAGGCGGTGAAGGAGGCCCTGGAGTACAAGGTGCTGCAGTCGCAGTTCTCGCTGCTCTACCACGAGAGCCTGCAGGTGAAGACGCAGCTGGACGAGGCGCGGGCGCTGCTGCTGGCCACCAAGAACAGCCACCTGCGCCACATCGAGCACATGGAGGTGGGACCTCACCCCCCGGGTGTCCCCCAGGGGGTCCCCTTGTGTTTTGGGGTGGTTTGGGGTTATTTGGGGTGGTTTGGGGTCATGGAAATCCCGTCATTCCTCATCCAAGATGGCCGCCTGCACTACATCGAGCACATGGAGGTGGGACCTCACCTGCCCAGGTGTCCCCCAGGGCGTCCCCTTGGCGCTGCTGCTGGCCACCAAGAACAGCCACCTGCGCCACATCGAGCACATGGAGGTGGGACCTCACCTGCCCAGGCGTCCCCCAGGGGGTCCCCTTGGGTTTTGGGGTGCTTTGGGGTTATTTGGGTGGTTTGGGGTCATGGAAATCCCGTCATTCCTCATCCAAGATGGCCGCCTGCGCCACATTGAGCACGTGGAGGTAGGATCTCACCTGCCCAGGTGTCCCCCAGGGGGTCCCGTTGGGTTTTGGGGTCATTTGGGGTCTTTTAAATCTCGATAATTCCAATCCAAGATGGCCGCCTGCGCCACACCGAGCACGTGGAGGTGGGACCTCACCCCCGTGGGTGTCCCCCAGGGGGCCCCCTTGGGTTTTGGGGTCATTTGGGGTCTTTAAATCTCGATAATTCCAATCCAAGATGGCCGCCGGTGCTGTAAATCCTATAGTGCCTCATCCAAGATGGCCGCCTGCGCCACATGGAGGTGGGACCTCACCTGTCCCCCAGGGGGTCGCTGAGGGGTCACGTTGGGTTTTGGGGTGATTTGAGGTCGTTTGGGGTCACTGAAATCCCAATAATTGCAATCCAAGATGGCCACCGGTGCCATAAATCCCATAATGCCTCATCCAAGATGGCTGCCACTGGTGCTATAAATCCCATAATGCCTCACTCAATATGGCTGCCAGTGCTATAAATCCCAGAATGCCTCATCCAAGATGGCTGCCAGTGCCATAAATCCCATAATGCCTCACTCAAGATGGCTGCCAGTGCCATAAATCCCATGATGCCTCATCCAAGATGGCTGCCACTGGTGCTATAAATCCCATAGTGCCTCATTCAACATGGCTGCCAGTGCCATAAATCCCATAATGCCTCATCCAAGATGGCTGCCACTGGTGCTATAAATCCCATAATGCCTCATCCAAGATGGCTGCCAGTGCCATAAATCCCATAATGCCTCATTCAACATGGCTGCCAGTGCCATAAATCCCATAATGCCTCACTCAAGATGGCTGCCAGTGCTATAAATCCCATAATGCCTCACTCAAGATGGCTGCCACTGCCATAAATCCCATAATGCCTCACTCAAGATGGCTACCACTGGTGCTATAAATCCCATAATGCCTCACTCAAGATGGCTGCCAGTGCCATAAATCCCATAATGCCTCACTCAAGGTGGCTGCTAGTGCTATAACTCCCATAATACCTCATCCAAGATGGCTGCCCCTGGTGCTATAAATCCCATAATGCCTCATTTAAGATGGCTGCCAGTGCTATAAATCCCATAATGCCTCACTCAAGATGGCTGCCACTGGTGCTATAAATCCCATAATGCCTCATTCAAGATGGCCGCCACTTTTTTCTTTTTTTTTTTAAATGTGGAAGAATTTTTTTTAAAAATTCTCAAAAAATCCCAAAAAATTCCCCCAAAAAATCCAAATAAATTTGGGGAAATTTATGGGAAAATCTCCCAAAAAATAAAAATATAAAAACAGCAAAAAAAGTTTTAATAAAATCTGTAAAAAAATGGAAATTATATTAAAAAAAAATCCAAAAATTTGTTTAAAATCTTTTAAAAGTGAATAAAAATGGCACAAAAAAGTGAATGAAAAGCGCAAAAAAATCCCCAAAAATTGGGAAAAAATATCAGAAAAAATTAAAAATATTTTTTTAAATTTGTTTGAGTGAATGGTAAAAAAATATTTTTTAAAATGATAAAAAATTCTTCTAAAATGACAAAAAACTCTCCCAAAAAATCTTTAAAAATTCTAAAAAAAAAAATCCAAAAAATTTCCTGAATACAAAAATAAATTTTTTTTTAATTTCCAGAAAATTTTGGGAAATTAAAAATATGAAATGAGGAAAAAAAAAAAAAAGTGAAAAATTGGGAAAAATAATTTCAAAATGAAATTAAAATTTTAAAAAAATCCTAAAAATTTCTAAAAATTCCCTAAAATACAAAAAATATTTTTTTTAAACATTTCCAGGAAATTTTGGGAAATTTAAAAAATTAAATGAGAAAAAAAATGTGGAAAAACAAAAAAAAATTGTGAAAAAATCAAATTAAAATTAAAAAAAAAAGGCAAAAAAATTGTAAAAAATCTCTTTAAAATTCCTTTAAAAATCCCTAAAATACAAAAAAAAAAATTTAAATAAAATTTTTGGAAAATTTCGGGAAATTAAAATGATAAACTGAGAAAAAAATGTGAAATAAGATCAAAAAAATAGTAAAAGAATCAAAATAAAATTTAAAAAAAGGCAAAAAATTCCCAAAAAATTCCTTTAAAAATCCTTAAAATATAAAAATAATTTTAAAAAATTCTAATAATTTTGGGAATTAAAAAATTTAAAAACTGAGAGAAAATAGTGCAGAAAAACACAAAAAAATTGTAGAAAAAAAACTTTTAAAAAATAGTGAAAAAATCGAATTAAAATGCAAAAAAAAGGTGAAAAATGTGGTAAAAATTGGTAAAAATTGCTCAAAAATCCTAAAAAACAACCAAAAAATCCTTTCAAAAATGTTTAAAAATGGGTGGGAAAAAATCTCTCTAAAAAATAGTGAAAAAATCGAATTAAAATGCAAAAAAAAGGTGAAAAATTCGTTAAAAATTGGTAAAAATTGCTCAAAAATCCTAAAAAACAACCAAAAATCCTTGAAAAATATTTTAAAATAGGTGGAAAAAGTTCTCTAAAATTAAGAAAATAATTGTCAGAAATTTGTAGTGTGAAATGTAAAAAAAAAAATTAAAAACTTGATAAAAATCAGTGAAAAAAATGGGAAAAATTCCTAAAAAAATGTCTCAAGAATCTCTCAAAAATTACTAAAAAATTAGTAAAAAATTGCTAAAAAATTACAAAAATATAAAAAAAGTTTGGGAAATTTCTGGAGAGTTTTGGAACTGAAAAACCTAAACTAAAAAAAAATACTGCAGAAAATAAACACTGAAAAAATTGTTAAAAATCAAATTAAAATCCAAAAAAAAAGGCAAAAAAATCGCTAAAAAATCAAATTAAAATAAAAAAAAAAGGCAAAAAAATCGCTAAAAAATCAAATTAAAATCCAAAAAAAAGGGAAAAAAATTACTAAAAAATCAAATTAAAATCCAAAAAAAGGCAAAAAAATCGCTAAAAAATCAAATTAAAATCCAAAAAAAGGCAAAAAAATCGCTAAAAAATCAAATTAAAATCCGAAAAAAGGCAAAAAAATTGCTAAAAAATCAAATTAAAATCCGAAAAAAGGCAAAAAAATCGCTAAAAAATCAAATTAAAATCTGAAAAAAAAGGCAAAAAAATTGCTAAAAAATGAAATTAAAATCCGAATAAAAAGGCAAAAAAAATGTTAAAAACTCAAATTAAAATCCAAATAAAAAGGCAAAAAAATCGCTAAAAAATCAAATTAAAATCCGGAAAAAAAGGGAAATAAGTTGCTAAAAAATCAAATTAAAATCCAAAAAAAGGCAAAAAAATTGTAAAAAATCGCCAAAAAATCGCTAAAAACTCCCCAAAAAATTCCCCAAAAAATTCCCAAAAAAATCCCCAAAATTCCTGCATTTCCCCCCAGTTTTCCACTGATGAAATTAAAATATTTTGGGTTTCACAGCGGCTGCGCCTGAGGGGATCCAGCTGTGAGCAAAAACCCCAAAATTCCTTAAAAATCCCAAAAAACAACCAAAAAAATCCTTTCTAGAAATGTTTAAAAATCAATGAAAAAAATCTCTAAAATTAAGAAAATAATTGTCAGGAGTTTGAAGCGTGAAATGTAAAAAAACTCATTAAAAAATTGGTAAAAAGAGGTGAAAATCCCTAAAAAATGTCCTAAAAATCTCTTAAAAATTACTGAAAATTTACTAAAAAATTGCTAAAAAATTACAAAAATATAAAAAAAACTAGAGAAACTTCTGGAGAGTTTTGGAACTTAAAAACCTAAACTGAACAAAAAATAATGTAAGAAATAAATGCTAAAAAAATCGTTTAAAAAATCAAATTAAAATCCGAAAAAAAAGGCAAAAAAATCGCTAAAAAATCAAATTAAAATCCAAAAAAAAGGCAAAAAAATCGCTAAAAAATCAAATTAAAATCCGAAAAAAAAGGCAAAAAAGTCGCTAAAAAATCAAATTAAAATCTGAAAAAAAGGCAAAAAAGTCGCTAAAAAATCAAATTAAAATCCGAAAGAAAGGCAAAAAAATCGCTAAAAAATCAAATTAAAATCCGAAAAAAAGGCAAAAAAATTGCAAAAAAATCAAATTAAAATCCGAAAAAAGGGAAAAAATCGCGAAAAAAATCAAATTAAAATCCAAAAAAAGGCAAAAAAATCGCTAAAAAATCAAATTAAAATCCGAAAAAAGGCAAAAAAACTGCTAAAAAATCAAATTAAAATCCGAAAAAAAAGGCAAAAAAATTGCTAAAAAATCAAATTAAAATCCGAAAAAAAAAGGCAAAAAAATTGCTAAAAAATCAAATTAAAATCCGAAAAAAAGGCAAAAAAATTGTAAAAAAAATCGCTAAAAACTCCCCAAAAAAATCCCCAAAAAATTCCCAAAAAAATCCCCGAAATTCCTGGATTTCCCCCACATTTCCCGCTGATGCAATTAAATGTTTTGGCTGTCAGAGCGACGAGCTGGGCGTGCAGAAGCGCCTGCGCACCGAGGTGATCCAGCTCGAGGACACGCTGGCCCAGGTGCGCAAGGAGTACGAGATGCTGCGCATCGAGTTCGAGCAGAACCTGGCGGCCAACGAGCAGGCGGGTGAGGGCACCTGGGGGTACCTGAGATACACCTGGGGTACACCTGGATACACCTGGGGACCATGGGATACACCTGGATACACCTGGGATACACCTGGGATACACCTGGGTACACCTGGATACACCTGGGATACCTGGGATACACCTGGTTACACTTGGGGTACCTGGGATACACCTGAGATACACCTGGGTACACCTGGATACATCTGGGTACACCTGGGGGCACCTGGGGTACCTGGGATACACCTGGGATACAGCTGGGGACACCTGGGGGTACCTGAGATACACCTGGGTACACCTGGATACACCTCAGATACATCTGGGATACCCCTGGGTACACCTGGGGGCACCTGGGATACATCTGGGATACCCCTGGGTACACCTGGGGGCACCTGGGATACACCTGGGATACCTGGGATACACCTGGGTACACCTGGGATACACCTGGATAGACCTGGATACACCTGGGGTACCTCGGATACACCTGGGCACAGGCACAGCTGGGGTACCTGGGATACACCTGGGGGCACCCTGGATACACCTGGGCACAGCTGGGGTACCTGGGATACACCTGGGGGCACCTGGGATACACCTGGGCACAGCTGGGGTACCTGGGATACACCTGGGGGCACCTGGGATACACCTGGGCACAGCTGGGGTACCTGGGGGCTCCTGAGATACACCTGGATACACCTGGGATACACCTGGGGCACACCTGAGATACACCTGGAGTACCTGAGATAGACCTGGGATACACCTGGGGGCACCTGGGGACCCCGAGGTACAGCTGAGATACACCTGGGCACACCTGGGGGTACCTGAGATACACTTGAGGGTACCTGAGATACACCTGAGATACACTTGGGGGTGCCTGAGATACACGTGGGCACCGCTGGGGGTACCTGGGCACAGCTGGGTGTGGCTGGGGGCACATGGCGGGCACCATCTCACCTGTGCGGTCTCACCTGTGTCTCACCTGTGTTTCTCTTGTCTCTCCCCTGTGTCTCACCTGTGTTTCTCTTGTCTCTCACCTGTCTCTCACCTGTTTTTCCTGTCTTTCACCTGAGTGCTCTCCCCTGTGTCACCTGTCCTGACTCACCTGGGTGATTTCACCTGTCTCTCACCTGTCTCACCTGTTGTGTCTCACCTGTTGTGTCTCTCACCTCTCACCTCTTTCTCCCCTGTCTCCCGTGTTCTGTCTCACCTGTCTCTCCCCTGTCTCCCGTGTTCTGTCTCACCTGTCTCTCACCTGTCTCCCGTGTTCTGTCTCACCTGTCTCTCACCTGTCTCACCTGTTGTGTCTCCCCTGTTGTCTCTCACCTTTCTCTCACCTGTCTCACCTGTTGTCTCTCACCTGTCTCACCCGTTGTGTCTCACCTGCCGTGTCTCACCTGTCTTTCACTTGTCTCTCACCTGTCTCCCTTGTTGTGTCTCACCCCTTGTCTCTCACGTGTCTCCTGTGTCTCACCTGTCTCTCACCTGTCCCACTTGTTGTGTGTCTCCTGTCTCCCCTGTTGTGTCTCACCTGTGTCTCACCTGTGTCTCACCTGTTGTGTCTCCCTTGTCTCACCTGCTGTCTCTCACCTGTTGTGTCTCCTCTGTTCTGTCTCACCTGTCTCACCTGTTGTCTCTCACCTGTCTCTCCCCTGTCTCACCTGTTGTCTCTCCCCTGTTATGTCTCACCTGTCTCCCCTGTTGTGTCTCACCTGTCTCACCTGTCTCTCACCCGTCTCACCTGCCGTGTCTCACCTGTCTCACCCATTGTCTCTCACCTGTCACCCCTGTTGTGTCTCCGTCTCTCACCTGTTATGTCTCACCTGCCGTGTCTCACCTGTCTCCCCGTCTCCCTTGTCTCCCCTGTTATGTCTCACCTGTCTCTCACCTGCCGTGTCTCACCTGTCTCACCCATTGTCTCTCACCTGTCTCTCACTTGTCTCCCCTGTTGTGTCTCCGTGTCTCACCTGTCTCTCATCTGTTATGTCTCACCTGTCTCCCCTGTCTCACCTGTCTCACCCGTTGTCTCTCACCTGTCTCTCACCTGTCTCACCTGTTGTGTCTCCCGTGTTGTCTCTCACCTGTTGTCTGTCACCTGTCTCTCACCTGTCTCCCTTGTTGTGTCTCACCCGTTGTCTCTCACATGTCTCACCTGTTGTGTCTCCCTTGTCTCACCTGTTGTGTCTCCTGTGTTTCACCCGTGTCCCCCGCTGTGCCCCGCAGGCCCCATCAACCGCGAGATGCGGCACCTGATCAGCTCTCTGCAGAACCACAACCACCAGCTCAAGGGCGACGTGCAGCGCTACAAGCGCAAGCTGCGCGAGGTGCAGGCCGAGATCGGCAAGGTGGGCGGGGCCAAACCCCGGGGTGGTCCTTTTAAGAGTGGGTGTGGTCTGTTTCAGAGGTGCAGGCCAAGATCAGCAAGGTGGGAGGGGCCAGCACCCCGGGGGCGTGGCTTGGAGAGGCGTGGGTCCTTTAATGGGGGCGTGGTCCCTTTAAGAGGGGCGTGGTCGCTGTAAAAGGGGTGTGGTTCCTTTAAGACTGGGAGTGGTCAATTGTAGAGTGGGTGTGGCCTCATTAAGAGTGGGTGTGGTCCCTTTAAGTGTGGGTGTGGTCTCTTTAAGAGTGGGTGTGGTCTGTTTCAGAGGTGCAGGCTGAGATCAACAAGGTGGGCGGGGCCAAACCCCGGGGGCGTGGCCTGGAGGGGCGTGGGGCCTTCAATGGGGGTGTGGTCCCTTTAAGGGGGCATGGCTGCTGTAAAAGGGGTGTGGTTCCTTTAAGAGAAGTGTGGTGCCTTCAAGAGTGGGTGTGGCTCTTTGGGAAGTGGGTGTGGTTTCTGTAACACATTGGTCTCATTAAGAGTGGATGTGTCCTTTAAGAGTGGGTGTGGTCCCTTTAAGAGTGGGTGTGGTTTCTTTAGGAGTGGGTGTGGTCTGTTTAAGAGGGGCAGGCCGAGATCAACAAGGTGGGCGGTGCCACACACCCCGGGGGCGTGGCTTGGAGGGGCATGGGTTCTTTAATGGGGCGTGGTCCCTTTAAGAGTGTGGGGCTCACTTTAAGAGTGGGTGTGGTCACTTTAAGAGTAGGTGTGGTCTTGTTAAGGGGGTGTGGCTTCATCAGCAAGGTGGGCGGGGCCAAACACCCCGGGGGCATGGCTTGGAGAGGCGTGGGTCCTTTAATGTGGGCGTGGTCCCTTTAAGAGGGGCATGGTCGCTGTAAAAGGGGTGTGGTTCCTTTAAGAGTGGGTGTGGTCTCTTTAAGAGTAGGTGTGGTTTTGTTAAGGGGGTGTGGCTTCTTGGGGGATGGTGTCTTTAAGAGTGGGTGTGGCTCCTTGAGAAGTGGGTGTGGTCTCTGTAAGACACTGGTCTCATTAAGAGTGGGTGTGGTCCCTTTAAGAGTGGGTGTGTTCTGTTTCAGAGGTGCAGGCCGAGCTCAGCAAGGTGGGCGGGGCCAGCACCCCGGGGGCGTGGCCTGGAGGGGCGTGGGTCCTTTAATGGGGGCGTGGTCCCTTTAAAAGGGGTGTGGTCACTGTAAAAGGGGTGTGGTTCCTTTAAGACTGAGTGTGGTCAATTGTAGAGTGGGTGTGGTCTCTTTAAGAGTGGGGGTGGCTCTTTGGGAAGTGGGTGTGGTCTCTGTAAGACACTGGTCTCATTAAGAGTGGGTGTGGTTTATTTAAGAGTGGGTGTGGTCTGTTTAAGAGGTGCAGGCCGAGATCAGCAATGTGGGCGTGGCCAGCACCCCGGGGGCGTGGCCTGGAGGGGCGTGGGGCCTTCAATGGGGACATGATCCCTTTAACAGGGGCATGGTCGCTGTAAAAGGGGTGTGGTTCCTTTAAGAGAAGTGTGGTGCCTTTAAGAGTGGGTGTGGTCACTTTAAGAGTAGGAGTGGTTTTGTTAAGGGGGTGTGGCTTCTTGGGGGATGGTCTCTTTAAGAGTGGGTGTGGCTCTTTGGGAAGTGGGTGTGGTTTCTGTAAGACACTGGTCTCTTTAAGAGTGGGTGTGGTCTCATTAAGAGTGGGTGTGGTTTATTTAAGAGTGGGTGTGGTCTGTTTAAGAGGTGCAGGCTGAGGGGCGTGGGTCCTTTAATGGGGGCGTGGTTGCTGTAAAAGGGGTGTGGTCGCTGTAAAAGGGGTGTGGTTCCTTTAAGGCTGGGTGTGGTCAATTGTAGAGTAGGTGTGGCTTCACAAGAGTGGGTGTGGTCCCTTTAAGAGTGGGTGTGGTTTCTTTAAGAGTGGGTGTGTTTAACAGGTGCAGGCCGAGATCAACAAGGTGGGCGGGGCCAAAAAGCCCCGGGGGTGTGGCTTGGAGGGGTGTGGTCCCTTTAAGAATGGTGTGGTTCCTTTCAGAGGGGCGTGGTTTCTTTAAGAGTGGGTGTGGCCCTTTTGAGACTGGGTGTGGTCATTAAAGAGTGGGTGTGGTCCCTTTAAAAGTGGGTGCGGTCTCTTTAAGAGTGGGTGTGGCTCCTTGGGAAGTGGGTGTGGTCTCTGTAACACACTGGTCTCATTAAGAGTGGGTGTGGTCCCTTTAAGAGTGGGTGTGGTCTGTTTAAGAGTGGGTGTGGTCTCTTTAAGAGTGGGTGTGGTCTGTTTAAGAGTGGGTGTGGTCTCTAAGAGTGGGTGTGGTCTGTTTCAGAGGTGCAGGCTGAGCTCAAAAAGGTGGGCAGGGCCAAAACCCCAGGGGGCGTGGCTTTGAGGGGCGTGGTTGTTTTAAGGGGGGTGTGGCTCCTTTAAGAGCGGTGGGATCACTTTGAGTGGGTGTGGTCCTTTCAGGAGTGGGTGTGGCTCCTTTGAAAGGGGTGTGGTCTATTGAAAAATGGGTGTGGTCACTTTAAGAGGGTGGTGATCCCTTTAAGGGGGTGTGGTCATTTTAAGAGGTGCAGACCAAGATTGACAAGGTGGGCGGGGCCAAAAACCCCAGGGGGCGTGGCTTTGAGGGCTGTGGGTCCTTTAAGAGAGGTGTGGTTCTTTTCAGATGGGCGTGGCTCCTTTAAGAGTGGGTGTGGTTCTTTGCAAAGTGGGCGTGGCCTCTCTGTTTTAAGAGAGGGAGTGGCCCTTTAAGAGGGGCGTGGCCTCTTTAAGAGTGGGTGTGGCCTTTGTAACTGTGGGCATAGTCAATTCAAGAGAGGTGTGGTTCCTTTAAGAGGGGCGTGGCATCTTTAAGAGTGGGTGTGGCCTTTCTAAGTGTGGGCATGGCCAATTCAAGAGAGGTGTGGTCCCTTTAAGAGGGGTGTGGCCTCTATAAGAGTGGGTGTGGCCTTTGTAAGTGTGGGCGTGGTCAGTTCAAGAGAGGTGTGGTCTCTTTAAGAGGGGCGTGGCCTCTTTAAGAGTGGGTGTGGCCTTTCTAAGTGTGGGCATGGCCAATTCAAGAGAGGTGTGGTCCCTTTAAGAGGGGCGTGGCCTCTTTAAGAGTGGGTGTGGCCTTTCTAAGTGTGGGCATGGCCAATTCAAGAGAGGTGTGGTCCCTTTAAGAGGGGCGTGGCCTCTTTAAGACCGGTGGGCGTGGCTTAGAGTGGCATCACCTTTGGGAAAACAGGATCATGTCCCTTTAAGAGATGGGTGTGGCCATTTAAAGGGGCGTGGCCTAATTAAAACCGAGCTGCTGCTTTGGGGTGTGGCCTAAAGGGGCGTGGCCTCTGACTCCTCCCCCTTTTCTCTTCCAGCTCCGCCTCCAGGCCAGCGGCGCCCCTCCCCCACCAAGCCCCGCCCCTCCCCAATTTAGGAGGATTCTGTGGGGATTTTGGGAGATTTTAGGAGGAATTTTGGGCAGGTGAGAGGAGTTTGGGGGATATGAAATGCATGTTTATGCAAATGAGATGCAAATGAGGAAGGGGGAAGGGTCCTGGGGTGGAGCTGAGGGGATTTGGGGGAATTTAATGAAGATTTGGGGGAATTTTGGGAGATTTTGGCGTTTTTGGGGAGGTGGGAGAGGTCTGGGGGGTATTAAAGGCATATTTATGCAAATGGGATGCAAATGAGGAAGGGGGAGGGGTCCTAGGGTGGCGATGAGTGGATTTGGGGGAATTTAGGAGGATTTTGGGAGATTTTAGGAGGATTTTTAGGGAGGTGGGAGGAGTTCGGGAGATCTTGAATGTATGTTTATGCAAATGAGATGCAAATGAGGAAGGGGGAGGGGTCCTAGGGTGGCGATGAGTGGATTTGGGGGAATTTAGGAGGATTTTGGGAGATTTTAGGAGGATTTTTGGGGGGATTTTGGGAGATTTTAGGATTTTTGGGGAGTTAGGAGGGAATTGGGGGACATTGAATGCATATTTATGCAAATGAGATGCTAATGAGGGATGTAGGAGGGTTTGGGGGAGGGGCCCTGAGAGGTTCATGGAGGATTTTGGGAGGAATTTGGGGAGATTTTGGGGATTAGAGAAGGTTTAAGAGGTGTCGAATGGATATTTATGCAAGTGAGATGCAAATGAGGGGGCTGGGATGATTTGGGGCGGGGCCCAAAGGGGAAGCTGAGAGGTTTGGGGGGGGATTCGAGGCGATTTTGGGAGATTTTAGGCAGATTTTGGGAGAGCTGGGAGGGGCTTATTGGAAATTCGGGGAGCTGAGAGGTTTGGGGGGATTAGAGGCGATTTTGGGAGATTTTAGGCAGATTTTGGGAGAGCTGGGAGGGGCTTATTGGAAATTCAATGCATATTTATGCAAATGAGATGCAAATGAGGTAGGGGGAGGGGTTCTGGGGTAGAGCTGAGGGGATTTTGGGAGATTTTAGGAGGATTTTTGGGGGGATTTTGGGAAACTTTAGGAGAATTTTGGGGAGGTGGGAGGGGTTTGGGGGTATTGAAGGCATATTTATGCAAATGAGATGCAAATGAGGAAGTGGGAGGGGTCCTGGGGTGGAGCTGAGAGGATTTTGGGGAATTTAGGAGGATTTTTGCGAGGATTTTGGGAGATTTTAGGAGAATTTTGGGGAGTTGGGAGGGGCTTGGGGGCTATGAAATGCATATTTATGCAAATGAGATGCAAATGAGGACGTGGGAGGGGTCTTGGGGTGGAGCTGAGGGGATTTTGGGGGAATTTTAGGAAAATTTTGGGGCATTTTGGGACATTTTAGTAAAATTATCGGGGAGTTAAAGTTGGTTTGGAGAGCGTGAAAGGAACATTTATGCAAATGAGATGCAAATGAGATTCAAATACCCCCAGGAATATTGAAGAGGAGCGGGATATCGAAGTTGGGGCGTGGTTTTGGGCAATTTGAGAGGGTGGAGCCAAATTAAAAGGGTGGAGCCAAATTAATGGGTGTGAGAGGGTTTGACTATGCAAATTAGATGCAAATGAGGTGGAAAATGGCCGCCAGGAGAACCAGAAGGAGATTAAATTTTTGGGTCAATTTTTAAGATTTTTGAGGGCAAATTTGGGGATTTTTTGTGAAATTGAAAGGGTGCAGCCAAATTAAGGAGCGCGAGGTTTCTGAATATGCAAATGAGGTGCAAATGAGATGCAAATGGCGACAGGAAGGCGCAGGAGAACCAGAAGGAGATGAAACTTGGGGGCAATTATTGAGGGCAAATTTTGGGGTTTTGGAGCAAAATTGAATGGGTGGAGCCAATTGAGTGGATGTGAGGTTTCTGAATATGCAAATGAGGTGCAAATGAGATGCAAATGAGCTGGAAACGGTGCTGAGGAGAACCAGAAGGAGATGAAATTTGGGGTCGATATTTCAGGGCAAATTTTGGGGATTTGGAGCAAAATTGAAAGTGTGGAGCCAAATAAATGGGTGTGAGCACTGCTGAATATGCAAATGAGATGCAAATGAGCTGGAAACGGTGCTGAGGAGAACCAGAAGGAGATGAAATTTGGGGTCGATATTTCAGGGCAAATTTTGGGGATTTGGAGCAAAATTGAAAGTGTGGAGCCAAATAAATGGGTGTGAGCACTGCTGAATATGCAAATGAGATGCAAATGAGCTGGAAATGGCGGCAGGAAGGCGCAGGAGAAGCAGAAAGAGATGAAATTTGGGGTCGATATTTCAGGGCAAATTTTGGGGTTTTGGAGCAAAATTGAAAGGGTGGAGCCAATTGAGTGGATGTGAGGTTTCTGAATATGCAAATGAGATGCAAATGAGCCGGACATGGCGGCAGGAAGGCACAGGAGAACCAGAAGGAGATGGAATTTGGGGTCGGTATTTGAGGGCAAATTTTGGGGTTTTGGAGCAAAATTGAAAGGGTGGAGCCAATTGAGTGGATGTGAGGTTTCTGAATATGCAAATGAGATGCAAATGAGCTGGAAATGGCCATCAGGAGAAGCAGCAGAAGATGAAATTTTTGAGTCAATTTTTGGTGAGCCCCGCCCCCTCTCAGCCTCCGCAAGCCCCGCCCCCTCCCAGGCCTTTGGCTCCGCCCCCTCCCAGGCCCCGGCCGGAGCGGGGGGCGGGGCGGGAACGGCCCAAGGGGGCGGGGCCTGAGGAGGGCAAGAAGAAGGACTCGGAGGTGCTGAAGCAGCTGAGGGCGGAGCTGAAGTGAGTGGGGATATGCAAATGAGATGCTAATGAGGGGCGGGGCAGGGGTTGTGGGAGGGGCTTTGGGGGGTTAGAGGGAAGTTTGTGAGGTTTCTGAATATGCAAATGAGATGCAAATGAGCTGGAAATGGCCACCAGGAAGGCGCAGGAGAACCAGAAGGAGATGAAATTTTTGAGCCAATTTTTGGGAACCTTTCCAATCAAATTTTGGGGTTTTGGAGCAAAATTGAAAGCGTGGAGCTCAGTGAAGGGGCGTGAGGTTTCTGAATATGCAAATGAGATGCAAATGAGCCGGACATGGCGGCAGGAAGGCGCAGGAGAAGCAGAAGGAGATGAAATTTGGGGTCGATTTTTGAGATTTTTGAGGGGAAATTTTGGGGTTTTGGAACAAAATTGAAACTGTGGAGCCAATTGAGTGGATGTGAGGTTTCTGAATATGCAAATGAGATGCAAATGAGATGAAAACAGCCACCAGGAAGGCGCAGGAGAAGCAGAAGGAGATGAAATTTGGGGTCGATTTTTGAGATTTTTGAGGGCACATTTTGGGGTTTTGGAACAAAATTAAAAGGGTGGAGCCAAATTAAGGAGCGTGAGGTTTCTGAATATGCAAATGAGATGCAAATGAGATGAAAACAGCCACCAGGAAGGCGCAGGAGAAGCAGAAGGAGATGAAATTTTTCGGTTGATTTTTGAGGGCAAATTTGGGGATTTTTTGTGAAAATAAAGGGGTGGAGCCAAATGAATGGGCGTGAAGTTTTCTGAATATGCAAATGAGATGTAAATGAGCTGGAAACTGCCACCAGGAAGGCGCAGGAGAACCAGAAGGAGATGAAATTTGGGGTCGATTTTTGAGCTCTTTTGGAGTCAGAGTTTGGGGTTTTGGAACAAAATTTAAAGGGTGGGGCCAATTGAGTGGATGTGAGGTTTCTGAATATGCAAATGAGATGCAAATAAGATGCAAACGGCAGCAGGAAGGCGCAGGAGAAGCAGAAGGAGATGGAATTTGGGGTCGATTTTTGAGGGCAGATTTTGGGGTTTTGGAGCAAAATTGAAAGTGTGGAGCCAATTGAGTGGATGTGAGGCTTCTGAATATGCAAATGAGATGCAAATAAGATGCAAACGGCAGCAGGAAGGCGCAGGAGAAGCAGAAGGAGATGAAATTTGGGGTCGATTTTTGAGGGCAGATTTTGGGGTTTTGGAGCAAAATTGAAAGTGTGGAGCCAATTGAGTGGATGTGAGGCTTCTGAATATGCAAATGAGATGCAAATAAGATGCAAACGGCAGCAGGAAGGCGCAGGAGAAGCAGAAGGAGATGAAATTTGGGGTCGATTTTTAAGATTTTTGAGGGGAAATTCCGGGGTTTTTGTGAAATTAAAGGGGTGGAGCCAAATTAAGGAGCGTCAGGTTTCTGAATATGCAAATGAGATGCAAATTAGCTCGAAACTGCCACCAGGAAGGCGCAGGAGAACCAGAAGGAGATGAAATTTTTCATCGATTTTTAAGATTTTTGAGGGGAAATTCCGGGGTTTTTGTGAAATTAAAGGGGTGGAGCCAAATTAAGGAGCGTGAGGTTTCTGAATATGCAAATGAGATGCAAATTAGCTCAAAACGGCCACAAGGGAGGCGCAGGAGAACCAGAAGGAGATGAAATTTGGGGTCGATTTTTGAGATTTTTGAGGGCAAATTTTGGGGTTTTGGAGCAATATTGAAAGGGTGGAGCCAATTGAGTGGATGTGAGGCTTCTGAATATGCAAATGAGATGCAAATGAGATGCAAACGGCGGCAGGAAGGCACAGGAGAACTAGAAGGAGATGAAATTTGGGGTCAATTATTGAGGGCAGATTTTGGGGTTTTGGAGCAAAATTGAAAGTGTGGAGCTCAGTGAATGGGTGTGAGGTTTTCTGAATATGCAAATGAGATGCAAATGAGCTGGAAATGGCCATCAGGAGAAGCAGAAGAGGATGAAATTTGGGGTCGATTTTTGAGCTCTTTTGGAGTCAGATTTTGGGGTTTTGGAACAAAATTGAAAGTGTGGAGCTCAATGAATGGGCGGGAGGTTTTCTGAATATGCAAATGAGATGCAAATGAGATGCAAACGGCCACCAGGAAGGTGCAGGAGAACCAGAAGGAGATGAAATTTGGGGTCGATTTTTGAGCTCTTTTGGAGTCAGATTTTGGGGTTTTGGAGCAAAATTGAAAGGGTGGAGCTCAGTGAAGGGGCGTGAGGTTTCTGAATATGCAAATGAGATGCAAATGAGCTGGAAATGGCCACAAGGAAGGCGCAGGAGAACCAGAAGGAGATGAAATTTTTGAGCCAATTTTTGGGAACCTTTCAAATCAAATTTTGGGCTTTTGGAACAAAATTGAAAGGTTGGAGTCAAATGAATGTATGTGAGGTTTCTGAATATGCAAATGAGATGCAAATGAGATGCAAACGGCGGCAGGAAGGCGCAGGAGAACCAGAAGGAGATGAAGCTGCTGCTGGACATGTACAAATCGGCCCCCAAGGAGCAGCGGGACAAGGTGACGCTGATGGCCGCCGAGAGGAAGAGCAAGGCCGAGGCAATTAGCGCTAATTAACGCTAATTAGCGCGTCCTTAACGCCGCGGGGGCGGGGTGGCGCAAGGGCGCCTCATAACGAGGGGGTAATGAGGGGTTAATTGTTAATTAGGGGCTGGGAAAGGCAAAAAGAGACGTCAAATATGGATAATTACATGCTAATTAATGCTAATTAAGTAAAAGTAAGAGTAGATGTGGGTAATTAGATGCTAATTAATGGTAATTAAGTAAAAATAAGAGTAGATGTGGGTAATTAGATGCTAATTAATGGTAATTAAGTAAAAAATAAGAGTAGGTGTGGGTAATTAGGTGCTAATTAATGGTAATTAAGTAAAAAATAAGAGTAGATGTGGGTAATTAGATGCTAATTAATGGTAATTAAGTAAAAATAAGGGTAGATGTGGGTAATTAGATGTTAATTAATGGTAATTAAGTAAAAAGTAAGGGTAGATGTGGGTAATTAGATGCTAATTAGACAAAAAACACATTAATTGTAGGTGCTTAGTTGTTAATTAGTGCTAATTATGTGAAAAAATAGGGTTAAATGTGGCTAATTAGAGGTTAATTAGTGGTAATTAGGGGTAGTTAGTGCTGTGGAATTGTGTTAATGAGGTTTTAATTAAGTGGTAATGAGTCATTAGAGCTCGTTAGCAGCACAAAAATGGGAGTAGTGAGAAAAGGGTAATTAGATGCTAATTAATGCTAATTAGGAAAAAAGTGAGAGTGGATGTGGGTAATTAAATGTTAATTAGCATTAATTTGGAAAGAAACCATGAACTACTTGTCTGTGGATGTTAATTAATGCTAATTATGCCAGCAAATGGGATCAAGTGTGAGTAATTAGATGCTAATTGATGCTAATTAGGCCCTAATCAGTGTTATACTTCCCCAGGAATGCTAATGAGGTTTTAATTAGTTGTTAATGAGTAATTAGGGGTTAATGAGGTTTTAGTCATTAATTAGGGACTGGGCAAGGCAGAAAAAGGGATGAGGTGTGGTTAATTAGCACTAATTAGCACTAATTAGTTCGTTATTTATGCTGTGGAATTGTTGCACTTCCTTGCAGATGCAAATGAGGTCTTAATTAATTGTTAATGAGTCATTAGGGCTCGTTAGCAGCACAAAAGTCAGAGGGAATGAGGGTAATGATATGCTAATTAGTGCTAATTAGGCAGGTGTTCCTGCAGTGCTGCATCCTAATTAACGAGGGGTTAATGAGGTTTTAGCCGTTAATTAAGGGTTGGGCAAAGCAGGAAATTGGATGAAATTAAACAAATGAGATGCTAATTAATGCTGAGCTTTGCCTGGTCGTTAATTATTCCTGTTAATTCCACTGATTAATTGGTTAATGAGTAATTTGTGATGGATTAATGGCTCATTAGCAATTAATTAATCAGATGGAGGCAAAGCTGCCCTGGGTCGTTAATTATTCCCAACAACTCCTCTTAATTTTTTAATTAAGGATTAATAATGACTAATTAGTTATTAGTGACTAATTAGTAATTAATCAGCTGGATGAGCACGATTAATTAATCTAATTAATTAATTAGCGACTCTTCCTGGTTGCTACTTTGTGTCATCATCTTTTACTAATTAATTCCTTAATTAGCAATGAAAAGTGGTCAATAATGAAAAGTGTTTAATGGAGTACATAATGACTAATAAATGGCTAATTAAGGATTAATTAATTATGAATGGCCTAAATAATTACTAATTAATGACTAGTTAACTGATTAATGATTAATTAATGAACTGGGGCAGCGACTCCAAGGAGCTGCTGTTCATTCCCATGGGTTAATGAACTAATTAATAACTAATAAATGGTTAATTAAGGATTAATTATTAGTTAATTAATGAGCTGGAGGAGCCGCGAGTCCAAGAATTCCTGTTCATTCCCGTGGGTTAATGAACTAAATAATAACTAATAAATGGTTAATTAAGGATTAATTATTAGTTAATTAATTAATGAGCTGGAGGAGCCGCGAGTCCAAGAATTCCTGTTCATTCCCATGGGTTAATAGCCTCAATAATGATTAGTAAATGGCTAATTAATTACTGATTAGTGACTAATTAATGATTAATTAGTGATTGAATAATTAATTAACGAGCTGCCTTTCATTCTTTGGGTTAATGACCCAAATAATAACTAATAAATGTCTAATTAATGACTGATTAGTGACTAATTAACGACTAATTAATGGTTAATTGATGAATTTCTCAGCTGGAGGAGCACGAGCGCCAAAACTGCCGTTTGTTCTTTGGGTTAATGACCCAAATAACAACTAATAAATGGCTAATTAATGCCTGATTAGTGACTAATTGGTGACTAATTAATGTATCAATGATTGATGATTTCCGAGCTGGAGGAGCGCTAGCGCCGAAACTGCCGTTCGACCTGGGCACAGCTGGCACACACCTGAGCACGGCTGGGCACACACCTGGGCACAGCTGGGTACAGGTAACAGCACACCTGGGGCACCTGGGGCAGATGGAGCACCTGCAGAGGAGGCTGGCGGCCACCAAACAGATGAGGGCACAGCTGGCACACATCTGGGGCAGATCGAGCACCTGCAGAGGAGGCTGGCCGCGACGAAGCAGGTGAGGGGGCACACCTGGGCACAGCTGGCACAGCTGGGATACACCTGGGGCAGATCGAGCACCTGCAGAGGAGGCTGGCGGCAACCAAACAGGTGAGGGCACAGCTGGGCCGGGGGCGCTGGCGGGAGCTGGAGGAGCGCGAGCGCCGAGACTGCCGTTCATTCTTTGGGCTAATAACCCAAATAACAACTAATAAACGGCTAATTGAGCATTAATTAGTGACCAATTAACCATTAATTAATGGATTTCCCAGCTGGAGGAGCTGCGGGGGCGCTGGCGGGAGCTGGAGGAGCGCGAGCGCTGAGACTGCCGTTCATTCTTTGAGTTAATAACCCAAATAATGACCAATAAACGGCTAATTGAGCATTAATTAGTGACCAATTAACCATTAATTAATGGATTTCCCAGCTGGAGGAGCTGCGGGGGCGCTGGTGGGACCTGGAGGAGCGCGAGCGCCGAGACTGCCGTTCATTCTTTGAGTTAATAACCCAAATAACGACTAATAAATGGCTAATAAATGACTGATTAGTGACCAATTAACGACTAATTAATGAGTTAATTAATGGATTCCCCAGCTGGAGGAGCTGCGGGGGCGCTGGCGGGAGCTGGAGGAGCGCGAGCGCCGCGAGTCCAAGAAGCTGGCGGACGAGGAGGCGCTGCGGCGGCTGCGGCTGAGCGAGGAGCAGATCGAGCACCTGCAGAGGAGGCTGGCCGCCACCAAACAGGTAATGGGAGGAGCTGCGGGGGCGCTGGCGGGAGCTGGAGGAGCGCGAGCGCCGCGAGTCCAAGAAGCTGGCGGACGAGGAGGCGCTGCGGCGGCTGCGGCTGAGCGAGGAGCAGATCGAGCACCTGCAGAGGAGGCTGGCCGCCACCAAACAGGTGAGGGCACCTGCAGAGGAGGCTGGCCGCGACGAAGCAGGTGAGGGGGCACACCTGGGCACAGCTGGCACAGCTGGGATACACCTGGGGCAGATCGAGCACCTGCAGAGGAGGCTGGCGGCAACCAAACAGGTGAGGGCACAGCTGGGCACAGCTGGCACAGCTGGCACACACCTGGGCACACCTGGGGTACCTGGGGCAGATCGAGCACCTGCAGAGGCGGCTGGCGGCGACAAAGCAGGTGAGGGGGCACAGCTGGCACAGCTGGCACAGCTGGGATACACCTGGGCACACCTGGGATACACCTGGGGCAGATCGAGCACCTGCAGAGGAGGCTGGCCGCCACCAAACAGGTGAGGGCACAGCTGGCACAGCTGGCACACACCTGGGCACACCTGGGATACACCTGGGGCAGATCGAGCACCTGCAGAGGAGGCTGGCCGCCACCAAACAGGTGAGGGCACAGCTGGCACAGCTGGCACACACCTGGGCACACCTGGGATACACCTGGGGCAGATCGAGCACCTGCAGAGGAGGCTGGCCGCCACCAAACAGGTGAGGGCACAGCTGGCACAGCTGGCACACACCTGGGCACACCTGGGATACACCTGGGGCAGATCGAGCACCTGCAGAGGAGGCTGGCGGCGACAAAGCAGGTGAGGGCACAGCTGGGCACAGCTGGGCACAGCTGGCACACACCTGAGCACAGCTGGGCACACCTGGCACACACCTGGGGTAGATCGAGCACCTGCAGAGGAGGCTGGCAGCGACCAAACCGGCAATGGGCACAGCTGGGCACAGCTGGCACAGCTGGCACACCTGGGCACAGGTAATGGGACACACGTGGGCACGGCTGGCACAGGTAATGGCACACCTGGGGCAGATCAAGCACCTGCAGAGGAGGCTGGCCGCGACAAAACAGGTGAGGGCACAGCTGGGCACAGCTGGCACAGCTGGGATACACCTGGGATACACCTCGGCACACCTGGGCACAGCTGGCACGGCTGGCATGGCTGGGGCAGCTGGGGCAGGTAATGGCACAGCTGGGCACACCTGGGGTACCTGGGGCACACCTGGGCACACCTGGGCACACAGCTGGCACAGCTGGGGCTCCTGGGGCAGGTAATGGCACAGCTGGGCACACCTGGGAGTAGCTGGCACAGGTAATGGGGCACAGCTGCCCCTCGCAGCGGCCATCTTGTCCCATTCCCTCCCGTCAGCCATCTTGCCCCATTCCCTCCCGTCAGCCATCTTGCCCAGCATGCTGACAGCGGCCATCTTGCCCCATTCTCTCCCGTCCGCCATCTTGTTCTGTTCCCTGACGGCGGCCATCTTGTCTCATTCCTTAATGTCAACCATCTTGCCCCACTCCCTCCCGTCAGCCATCTTGTCCCATTTCCTGGTGGCGGCCATCTTGTTTCATTCCTTAATGTCAGCCATCTTGTCCTATTCACTCCCATCAGCCATCTTGCCCCATTCCCTCCCGTCAGCCATGTTGTCTCATTCCCTGTCGTCAGCCGTCTTGCCCAGCATGCTGACGGCGGCCATCTTGTCCCATTCCCTCCCGTCAGCCACCATCTTGTCCCATTTCCTGGTGGCGGCCATCTTGTCTCATTCCTTAATGTCAGCCATCTTGCCCCATTCCCTCCCGTCAGCCATCTTGCCCAGCATGCTGACGGCGGCCATCTTGCCCCATTCCCTCCCGTCAGCCATCTTGTCCCATTCCCTCCTGTCAGCCATCTTGCCCGGCATGCTGACGGTGGCCATCTTTCCCCATTCCCTCCCGTCAGCCATCTTGCCCCATTCCCTCCCGTCAGCCATCTTGCCCCGCCCGCTGACACCCCCCACTCGTCCCCACCCGCTGACGACAGCCATCTTGTTCCGTTCCCTGTCATCTGCCATCTTGTCCCATTCTCTAGCGTCAGCCATCCTGCCCAGCGTGCTGACGGTGGCCATCTTGCCCCATTCCCTGTTGTCAGCCATCTTGCCCCATTCTCTAGTGTCAGCCATCTTGCCCCATTCCCTGTTGTCAGCCATCTTGCCCCATTCCCTCCCGTCAGCCATCTTGCCCCGCCCGCTGACACCCCCCACTCGTCCCCACCCGCTGACGGTGGCCATCTTGTTCCATTCCCTCCCGTCAGCCATCTTGTTCTGTTCCCTGTCGTCAGCCATCTTGTCCCATTCCCTCCCGTCCGCCATCTTGTCCCATTTCCTAACGTCAGCCGTCTTGTCCTCCCCACTGACAGGCTGGCACAGCTGGCACACATCTGGGCACAGCTGGGCACACACCTGGGCACGGCTGGGCACAGCTGACACACCTGGGCGCACACCTGGGCGCACACCTGGGCACAGCTGGCACAGCTGGGGCACCTGGGGCAGGTAATGGCACAGCTGGGCACACCCGGGAGTAGCTGGCACAGGTAATGGGGCACACCTGCCCCTCCCGTCAGCCATCTTGCCCCATTCCCTCCCGTCAGCCATCTTGCCCAGCATGCTGACGGCGGCCATCTTGCCCCATTCCCTCCCATCAGCCATCTTGCCCCGCCCGCTGACACCTCCCACTCCTCCCCACCCGCTGGTGGCGGCCATCTTGTCTCATTCCTTAATGTCAGCCATCTTGCCCCATTCCCTCCCGTCAGCCATCTTGTCCCATTCCCTCCTGTCAGCCATCTTGCCCGGCATGCTGACGGTGGCCATCTTTCCCCATTCCCTCCCGTCAGCCATCTTGTCTCATTCCTTGTCGTCAGCCATCTTGCCCCGCCCGCTGACACCCCCCACTCGTCCCCACCCGCTGACGGCGGCCATGTTGTCGCGCTGGCAGGAGGAGGAGGCGCTGCTGTCGGAGATGGACGTGACGGGCCAGGCCTTCGAGGACATGCAGGAGCAGAACCTGCGGCTGCTGCAGCAGCTGCGCGAGAAGGACGACGCCAACTTCAAGCTGATGTCGGAGCGCATCAAAGCCAACCAGATCCACAAACTGCTGCGCGAGGAGAAGGACGAGCTGGCCGAGCAGGTGCTGGCCCTCAAGGCCCAGGTGAGACCCCGAATTAATCACTAATTAGTCATTAATTAGTATTGATTAAGTTTTAATAGGGACTAATAGCTGATTATTAGGGGTTATTAGTTGGTTGGTTGGTGTTTGTGGGCGTGCCGAGCAGGTGCTGGCCCTCAAGGCCCAGGTGAGGCCCCAGAAAGGTCGTTAATTAGTCATTAATTAGTATTGATTAAGTTGTAATAGGGATTAATAGCTGTTTATTAGTGGTTAATAGGGTTTATTAGTGGTTAATAGGGTTATTAGTTGGGTATTAGGCGTTTGTGGGCGTGCCGAGCAGGTGCTGGCCCTCAAGGCCCAGGTGAGACCCCAAATTAATCGTTAATTAGTCATTAATTAGTATTGATTAAGTTGTAATAGGGATTAATAGCTGATTATTAGGGGTTAATAGGGTTTATTAGTTGGTTGTTTGGTGTTTGTGGGCGTGCCGAGCAGGTGCTGGCCCTATTAGGCGTTTGTGGGCGTGCCGAGCAGGTGCTGGCCCTCAAGGGCCAGGGGAGGCCCCAAAATAACCATTAATTAGTCACTAATTACTATTAACTTAGCTTTAATAGGGATTATTAGCTGATTATTAGGGGTTATTAGTGCTTATTAGTTGGCTGTTTGGAGTTTGTGGGCGTGCAGGTGCTGGCCCTCAAGGCCCAGGTGAGGCCCCAAAGTAATCCCTAATTAGTCATTAATTAGTATTGATTAAGCTTTAATAGGGATTAATAGCTGATTATTAGTGGTTAATAGGGGTTAGTTGGGTGTTTGGTGTTTGTGGGCGTGCCGAGCAGGTGCTGGCCCTCAAGGCCCAGGTGAGGCCCCAGAAAGGTCGTTAATTAGTCATTAATTAATATTAATTGAGTTTTAATAGGCATTAATAGCTGTTTATTAGTGGTTAATAGGGTTAATTAGTTGGGTATTAGGTGGTTAATAGCGTTAATTAGTTGTGTATCAGGCATTTATGAGCTTGCTCAAGGTGCTCAAGGCCCAGGTGAGACCCGGAAATAATCACTAATTAGTCATTAATTAGTATTAATTAAGTTTTAATAGGTATTAATAGCTGTTTATTAGTGGTTAATAGGGTTAATTAGTTGGGTATTAGGCGTTTGTGGGCGTGCTCAAGGCCCAGGTGAGGCCCCCAAAAGGTCGTTAATTAATTGTTAATTAATATTAATTAACTTTTAATGGGGACTAATTGCTGTTTATTAGTGGTTAATAGGGTTAATTAGTGGTTAATAGCGTTAATTAGTGGTTAATAAGGTTAATTAGTTGTGTATCAGGCGTTTGTGGGCTTGCTCAAGGCGCAGGTGAGCCCCCAAAACTTCATTAATTATTCATTATTAATTAATTAAGTTTCAAAGCCACTAATGATGATTTATTAGCAATTAATAGGGTTTATTAGCTGTTAATTAGCTATTAATGGGGCAGGTGCTGGACCCCAAGGTGAGACCCCAATAAGATCATTAATTAGTCACTAATTAGCTGCTAATAATTATTAATTACTGCTTGGCAGTTATTAATAGGGCTTGTTAATTGTCTAATACTTGCTAATAGCCATTAATGAGTGATTAATAATTATTAATTGCACTAATGATGCTTTAATGGCAGTAATTATTATTGGTTATTAATAGTAATTAGTGGGTAAAAATTATTAATTAGTGAATAATTAATAGTTATTAATTATGCTAATGATGCTTGAATAATTATTAATAGCCATTAATGATTCTTAAGTGGTTATTAATTGCAATTAGTGCGTCTGGAAATCGTTAATAGCCGTTAATGAGTAATTAATAACTGCTAATGTGGTTTAAGTAATTATTAATAACTTAATTATTCATTAACGGTCATTAATGTCAATTAATGACCAATAGTCATTAATAGCTGTGAATGAATTATTAATTATTGGAAGATAATATTAATGATGATCTAATAATTATGATTTTTAAAGGGTTGTTATTAGTAATTAATGAGTTTCTGGTAATCATTAATTATTATTAATAAATGTCTAATATCCGTTAATTGTATCAGGTGCTAATGCTGGTAATGCTCTGATTGCACTAATTAGTGGTTAATTAGTGATTAATGGCTCACCTGTGCAGGCGGCCCAGAAGCCCAAAAAGACCAATTAGGGCTTAATTATTCCTAATAATTGGCTAATAATTACTTAATTATGGCTAGAAATGCCTTAAGTTCAGTTATTAATGAGCTGATTTCACTAATTAAGGACTAATTAGTAATTAATGAGTCGTCTGTGCGGGTGGAGGCGCAGCTGCAGGTGGAGCAGGAGCTCAAAAAGACCAATTAGTCCTTAATTAATTCTAATAATTGGCTAATAACTGCGTAATTTTGCCTAGAAACGCCCTAATTTTGGCTAATAAAGTGCTAATTTCACTAATTAGTGATCAATTAGTGACTAATTACCACATTGCACAGGTGGAGGTGCAGCTGCAGGTGGTGCAGGAGCTGGAGGAGAAGGATCAGACCCTAATTAGCTCTAATAATCAGCTAATAACAGCCTAATTTTGCCTAGAAACGCCGTAATTTCAGCTAATAAAGCGCTAATTTCACTAATTAGTGATTAATTAGTGACTAATTAACGTTTTGTGCAGGTGGAGGCGCAGCTGCAGGTGGTGCAGAAGCTGGAGGAGAAGGATCAGACCCTAATAAGCCCTAATTAGATCTAATAATTGGCTAATAACTGCCTAATTTTGCCTAGAAACGCCCTAATTTCAGCTAATAATGAGCCAATTTCACTAATTAGTGACTAATTAGTGACTAATTAACAGTCTGTGCAGGTGGAGGCGCAGCTGCAGGTGGAGCAGGAGCTCAAAAAGGCCAATTAGTCCTTAATTAGTTCTAATAATTGGCTAATAACTGCCTAATTTTGCCTAGAAATGCCGTAATTTCAGCTAATAATGAGCTAATTTCACTAATTAGTGATCAATTAGTGACTAATTACCGCCTTGCACAGGTGGAGGCGCAGCTGCAGGTGGTGCAGAAGCTGGAGGAGAAGGACCAGACCCTAATTAGCTCTAATAATTGGCTAATAACAGCCTAATTTTGCCTAGAAACACCCTAATTTCAGCTATTAATGATCTAATTTCACTAATTAGTGACTAATTAACGTTTTGCACAGGTGGAGGCGCAGCTGCAGGTGGTGCAGAAGCTGGAGGAGAAGGACCAGACCCTAATAAGTCCTAATTAGCTCTAATAACTGGCTAATAACAGCCTAATTTTGCCTAGAAACGCCGTAATTTCAGCTATTAATGATCTAATTTCACTAATTAGTGACTAATTAACGTTTTGTGCAGGTGGAGGCGCAGCTGCAGGTGGTGCAGAAGCTGGAGGAGAAGGACCAGACCCTAATAAGCCCTAATTAGCTCTAATAATTGCCTAATAACTGCCTAATTTTGCCTAGAAACGCCCTAATTTCGGCTATTAATGATCTAATTTCACTAATTAGTGGTTAATTACCGCCTTGCACAGGTGGAGGCGCAGCTGCAGGTGGTGCAGAAGCTGGAGGAGAAGGAGCGGGGCCTGCAGAGCGCCCTGGGCGCCGTGGAGAAGGAGCTGAGCCTGCGCTCGCAGGCGCTGGAGCTGCACAAGAGGAAGGTGAGGGACAGGTGTGTCACAGGTGTGTCAGGTGTGTCACAGGTGTGTCCAGGTGTGTTCAGGTGTGTCACAGGTGTGTCCCAGGTGTGTTCAGGTGTGCGCAGGTGAGCTGAGCCTGCGCTCGCAGGCGCTGGAGCTGCACAAGAGGAAGGTGAGGGACACATGGGGACAGGTGTGTCAGGTGTGTCATGGGTGTGTCATGGGTGTGTCACAGGTACCCCAGGTGTGTCACAGGTGTGTCCCAGGTGTGTTCAGGTGTGCCCAGGTGAGCTGAGCCTGCGCTCGCAGGCGCTGGAGCTGCACAAGAGGAAGTTGAGGGACAGGTGTGTCACAGGTGTGTCAGGTGTGTCACAGGTGTGTCACAGGTACCCCAGGTGTGTCACAGGTGTGTTCAGGTGAGCTGAGCCTGCGCTCGCAGGCGCTGGAGCTGCACAAGAGGAAGGTGAGGGACAGGTGTGTCACAGGTGTGTCAGGGGTGTCACAGGTGTGTCACAGGTACCCCAGGTGTGTCACAGGTGTGTTCAGGTGGGCTCAGCCTGCGCTCGCAGGCGCTGGAGCTGCACAAGAGGAAGGTGAGGGACACGTGTGTCATGGGTGTGTCACAGGTGTGTCATGGGTGTGTCACAGGTGTGTCCCAGGTGTGTTACAGGTGTGGACAGGTGTGTCGCAGGTGTGTCATAGGTATGTTCAGGTGTGTCACAGGTGTGTCACAGGTACCCCAGGTGTGTCACAGGTGTGTCAGGTGTGTCACAGGTACCCCAGGTGTGTCACAGGTGTGTTCAGGTGTGTCCAGGTGTGTGACAGGTACCCCAGGTGTGTTCAGGTGTGTCACAGGTGTGTCACAGGTGTGTCACAGGTGTGTCACAGGTACCCCAGATGTGTCCCAGGTGTGTCCCAGGTGTGTCCCAGGTGTGTCCCAGGTGTGTCACAGGTACCCCAGATGTGTCCCAGGTGTGTCAGGTGTGTCACAGGTGTGTCACAGGTGTGTCCCAGGTGTGCCCCAGGTCTGCCCCAGGTGTCTCACAGGTACCCCAGGTGTGTTACAGGGGTGTCCCAGGTGTGTCCCAGGTGTGTAGTAGGTATGCTCAGGTGTGTCACAGATGTGTCACAGGTGTGTCACAGGTACTTCAGGTGTGTCACAGGTGTGCCCAGCTGTGTTCCAGGTGTATTGGGGTGTATTTAAATGTGCTTCAGGTGTATCCTAGGTGTGCCCAGGTGTAACCCAGATGTAGCCAGGTGCTCCCAGGTGTAACCCAGGTGTATCCCAGGTGTATCTGAATGGATCTCAGGTGTATCCAGGTGTACTCTAGTTGTTCTTAACCATACCCAGGTGTGCCCACGTGTATCCAGGTGCCCCCAGGTGTACCCCAGGTGCCCCCAGGTGTATCCATGTACACTCAGGTGTATCCAGGTGTATGTAAATGAGTCTCAGGTGTATCTAGGTGTACCCCAGGTGTGCTCAGGTGTATCCCAGGTGTAACCCAGGTACCCCAGGTGCCCCCAGGTGTGCCCAGGTGTATCTCAGGTGTATCTCAGGTGCCCCCAGGTGTATCCATGGACACTCAGGTGTCCCCAGGTGTATCCCAGGTATATCAAGGTGTCCCCAGGTGTATCTAGGTGTACCCAGATGTGCCCCCAGGTGTATCCCAGGTGTAACCCAGGTACCCCAGGTGTATCCAGGTACACTCAGGTGTATCCAGGTATATGTAAATAGATCTCAGGTGTCTCTAGGTGTGCCCAGGTGTAACACAGGTGTGCCCAGGTGTATCTAGGTGTACCCAGATGTGCCCCCAGGTGTATCTCAGGTGCCCCCAGGTGTATCCAGGTACACTCAGGTGTATCCAGGTGTATGTAAATGGGTCTCAGGTGTATCTAGGTGTCCCCCAGGTGTATCCAGGTATTCTCAGGTGTATCTAGGTGTATGTAAATGGGTCTCAGGTATATCCAGGTGTACCCCAGGTGTACCCCAGGTGTACCCCAGGTGTAACCCCGGTGTCCCCCAGGCGGTGGAGGCGGCCCAGCTGGCCGAGGACCTGCGCGCGCAGGGCGAGCACGTGCAGGCGCGGCTGCGCGAGCTGCAGGTGTGCACAGGTGTGCCCAGGTGTGCACAGGTGTGCCCAGGTGTACCTCAGGTGCCCCCAGGTGTATCTCAGGTGCCCCCAGGTGTATCCAGGTACACTCAGGTGTATCCAGGTGTATGTAAATGGGTCTCAGGTGTATCTAGGTGTCCCCCAGGTGTATCCAGGTATTCTCAGGTGTATCTAGGTGTATGTAAATGGGTCTCAGGTATATCCAGGTGTACCCCAGGTGTACCCCAGGTGTACCCCAGGTGTACCCCAGGTGTAACCCCGGTGTCCCCCAGGCGGTGGAGGCGGCCCAGCTGGCCGAGGACCTGCGCGCGCAGGGCGAGCACGTGCAGGCGCGGCTGCGCCAGCTGCAGGTGTGCGCAGGTGTGCCCAGGTGTAACACAGGTGTGCCCAGGTGTACTCAGGTGTATCCAGGTGTATGTAAATGGGTCTCAGG